TTTTATGAAATCGTAAAATTTCGATTTTGGGCGGTGCTGGCGAAACGCGCGAATTCTTTGATAGGTTATTGCACGGAAACAATGATCGAGCGAATTTCGGCGATAGTCGTGCAAATTCATGCTAATTGCGTGCTAAATAATGGCTATGAAAAAATATAAAAAATTTCATTTTTGCGATGGGCGGTGCTGGCGAAACGTTTCGCCAGCACCGCCCGTTAATTTTTGCGATTCCGGAGAAATGGATGCCATGCAAATTGCGAAATTGGTCATGCAAATTCATGCTAATAACGTGCTAAATATTGATAGTATAAAAAATCAAATTTTCCTAATGGGCGGTGCTGGCGAAACGCGCGTAGGAGAACCGGCGTGGCAAACGATGAGGCAACTGCCTTTACCTGTAGGTACTTTTAAACTTTCTGTATTTTTACTTTTATGCTAAATACGTCCAAGAGTATGGTTTTAATTAACATAGGTTTCTTCCAAGTAGACTACCAGCCGAGTATCACCGTTCTACGAAACTTGTTCATCTTTCTAAAAAATTTAACGTGCCAGCTACAATATCCGATTGTTCCATTAAGAATTTCTGACCGTCGTTACATTTCTTGTACTTAAAATTAAGTTCTTTTAAAATTATTTTCACCGACGATTTCGATCAACGGTAATTTAATTTTTCACGTAATTCCACTAATACTTAATCACTCGTAAGAGTGTAAAATTTATGGACAATTCTTCTGATTATTTCATTGTCAAAATCATCAAGTTCAGTGTCAGATTTCTCGCGTCTGTAATTTTTTCGTGGTTATGGAAATTTAAGGCCATTAGAACTTCCGACACATAATGATTTTTATTCATTTTCTGTTTTTTTACTTTCATTACATAACTGCTGTGCAAAGGGCGTATTTTAGGGGAGGGTGCAAAGGGCAAGATTGATACCTCTTAATCCGTATTTAAGGAATCGATTATACGATTATGTGAGATAAACATTTCAAATTTTTTTAATGCGAATCATTTTATAACGAAATCAAATTACGCGTGGCTGTGAATACTGAATTGGGCTTTTTGTCAGGTCCATACTTAGTGAAAAATCAAATAAAACACAAGCGTAACTTTCAAAACATAGATAGGGGTTAAAAAATAACTTTACAAAAGTCGATTCTAAGTGAATCCAACATTAGATTAAAAAAAAAAAACTACAAATATTAAGGATTCGCTTGATTAAATATTACCAAAATTTGACTCGTACATTTTGAGCCTAAATTAAAGAATAAATTGGAGTCCTCCCCTTAGAAGTAAGTCTAAATACGCCCCTGACTGTACAGCTCACAAACATATTGCACAAGCCTCGGTCATCTTCTCTTGTGACTATCGAAAATAATCTGCCGATTCCGGCTTTTCTTTGCACTTGTCCAAGGTTTTAAAAAATGTATATACGTTGTATATTGTTTTTTCGTTTAGGAATATATATCAGGCCGAATCGACATTTCGAAAAAAAAATTATTTATCACAAATGAATAGTAAAAAAACACAAAAAAAAAAAAAATTAAAATATTGTACAATATTAAAACAGCCGCACAAAAAAATCACACTCAACTCAAACGATAGCAATCAACTCATACATGAAGGGTAGAGGATCGTAGACTAACAAACTGCGAAAAAACAGTTTCTGAAACAATTTGGTTTCAATAAACTGACAATATAATAAGTCAATGGAATGCGGTTGTCAGCGCCAGATGGTCAGTTTAAATAGAAAAAGGCCACGCGCGGCAGTTATACGCACTCGCAGCAGTTTTTAGTACGCATGTTTATATTATAGATATTGTATATATACGATATACCTTTGTGATATATCTTTTGTTTCAAAAAACGGTTGAAACACAGCTGCACCAGTTATTCATTTAATAAATAATACTTTTAGAACCCCTGGTTTACACGAAAACGGCTACCTGGCACATGATGATTACCTGTCTAGTTTCGCTGGCCGTACTATAAAACAAGTTCTTAATTCTTATTGATTTGTAACATGCAGTGGTAGTAGACTGCGGTTTTTTCGTGGTATTTATGAACGAAATAATATATATTATAGTCATTCAAGAAAAATTATAATTATGTATTTTTTATTTTATGTTGATCCTAAAAAATGTACTGCCCCATCAAACATTAAATTTGCCGCCTCGGGGAAATTTCCCCTCCTTGATCGCTGTTAAATGCGGCTCTCGATAGTAGTATAGTGATGAAATTTGTGTACTTGAACCAATGAATATTATATAGTTATATATATATATATAGCTATTATATAGTTTTGTAGAAATGAAAGTTTCGAAAGTTATTTTTCTCAACTGGTCAAGGGATGATTTAATAAATTTGACTGGTTGTACTTCATGTAACCCGACCTATTCTGATGAACTATATTAAAACGAAAAAAAAAAACTAAATTGAAGAAATTTATATCTACGGAGATTTTTCCATCGGGATATCACGGCGATTCATTCTACGTTTATTCCATGTATGACTTAGTAGCGCTGCGATAGATTTTCCAATAGTATTTCACTCACATTTGGTGTGAACTCTGTATCTCTGCGGAAAGGACAGCCTTGAATCAAACATCCTTCGTTCATGGAGCAACCGATGTCTTGGTGACCGCCAATAAGTGTTTCGGGTGAAGAATTATCCGAAGCTGAGGTTTGTACCATTTGAAACATATCCCTCATTTTTTCCAAGGCTGTCATCGCACACCGGACAATTTTCGCCTCGTCCCTGCAGCAACCTCCGTCAAATGATCTGCGTCCACAAGAAGACATTTTTGGATATTGATTTTGCTTTTTATGATGCCTTAAATTTCCTTCTGTGATGTGTTTGTGTAAATTATAAATTCAACTTCGAATTCCAATTAGTTAAAAATATTTTAACAAAATAATATTTCCATGGTTATTGAATGCGCCGAAATCGTAGACATATAAGTGGCCAATACTTTGATTTTTTATTTTATGAATTGTATTTCATGATCGCTTAAATTTTAACAATATCACTTAAGTTATATTAAGTAGTGTAATGGTACACAGTCGTACATTATATAACGGTTTTTTTCAGGACCACCAATCACAGCTTAGCATGAACGTACAAACGACTAAGATAACTTCGCGTCCACATTACTGAGCCTCAAGTTGTCCCACATCTTTAATAATAAGGGCTACATGAAGGGGAGGCCAACACGCGTTAAATGACACTACCCCCATACATATAATCCTAAAACTGTGCAAGTAACATCACCACCCGTACTGAACACGAACACTACTGTTTACGTCAGTAACACACGGTTTACTAGTTGGTACGGAAGCACTATATAGCGGACGTTTTTCACGACTTATTACTCAGTTTTCCATCAACTTTCAAACTTTCAACTTCTAGCAGAAAATAGAAAGAACGAAGACCTGAAGAACTGACGATTTGCAAGTCACGACGACACTACAACTGCCAATAGTCCACGATGACCAACGGAGGCCAGAATGTTGATAATCGACCGCGATTTAACTCAAGCTCGAATTGCCTAAGTCATACAGCGACAGTACAGCCAGCCATCCCTAACCAGCCAACAGCCAGCAGTCCGTACAATAACTGCGTACGTAAAGAATGCCGATGACCATCAGCGGCGATCACATCAAGCATTGCAGTTGATAATAATATAGCGCGTTTGGGTACTCTTTTTACTATCATGGATATGGAATTCGAAGCGTCAGCAGGAAGTACATTAGACGGCATTTGTTGCTGTGAGTGTGATCCAGAAGTTGAATTAAAATGTAATAACGAGTGATGAGATCGGTTAAAAACTTGACATTTGTACTTAGATGGACATGCTGTTGATGTATGCCCGGCTCCTAGACAATTATTACAAAGTTAATGCAATTTCGCGAGCTGGAACCGTTCATTAGGTATTTTTTCATTGAATCGTGAACATTTCCGAATTGAATGTGCCTGGTTGCATATTGGACAGTTCACATTTTGTGATTGACTGGTGGTAGCTGTATTTTTTGAATTGAGCCAGTACGAGGTTTTTCTTGACTTCGAGGCAATTTTGCTATGTGTGTAGTCGGAATCGAGGTTATAAATACTTCTACAGAACGCATGTACTGACGTAAGAAATCGATAAATTCTGGTAGACTCGGAGAGTGTTTGTCTCCCACTAATAACTCCCATCGAGATCGTAACTCATAATCCAGATGTTGTTCGAAGATGTATAACAACAGTGGACTCCATGATCTAGTTACGAAATCTAAATTGTCTAATGCTGCAATATGTTCCGTAATGGAATTAAGCAGGGTTTTGATAGATTGTGAGTCTGTGGATTTTACGACATACTTCTTTAGAAGAGATTGAAAATGAATGCGAGCCAGATCACGTTTGTTTCCATAGCGAGACTTTAGAATTTCCCAGGCACTCAAGTAGTTCGCTGCTGTCAATGGTAAATGAGCAACCAGTGATAAGGCTTCACCTTGAAGAAAAGTTTTCAGATATTCAAATTTTTCAACATTAGGCAGATCTGGAGCATGTGATAATATTGAGTGAAATAAATCCTCAAAGCCTTACCACTCTGTAATTACTCCAGAAAATGTGGGAAATTTGCGTTTTAGTAACTGGAAACATGACAAATTTCCTAACGTACCAGATTGTTGAGCTGTGCTGGAAGCAAAGGATTGAGATATCTCTGTGACTGGTGACAATGGAAATTGATGAATGTCAGCAAACGCAGCCAGTTCATAAAATAGATCTTCAAAGGAATTAATTAATGAACTACTACACTTATTATCGGTAACATCAATAGGTGCAGTAGATTGTCCGACGGCCGTTTCCATTATTTGAATGTCCTTATTAACGCAACGACGAATCTCCTTTAGTTCAGAGAGCATCTGCTTGATTTTTGCCTGTTTTCCGATGTTTGTCCGGTCATTGTGGTAATCACCGGAAGCTTTCACAAATGAAGTGACTCGGTTAATCGCACGAATCACACGCCCTTTTGCATCTATGTAATGGATTGATTGTGGCATAGCCATATTGAAGTTTGAGATGAATTGATGTACTGAAAGTTGATGAAAGAGACCAGTGAGTACCCGGGGACCGAGTAAGAGCGACGGTTACTGGTCGTAGAGTATGAAGTTAACGAGAGTTTTGAAACACAGTAAGTTTAATACAAGACTTGTGCGGAACACTAATTAACGAGACGAAAAAACACGAAGATAACACACGAAGAAGTTACGGTTTGTCGGTTAAATCCGGTTCGAGGGACCAAAAAATGTATGAATGAAAATAAAAAACAACAATTTAACTACACGGATGACGTAAGTATATTTAAAGTTTACAAACACACGAACAACATTAAATGGATCTTTACTAGACCGAAATTTAACTATAGCCGAGGGCGCACTAACGACACGACGGGGGAAGGAGGCCTTGTCGAACGGTGTGTCGACCGATATGATTCCAGAATTACTCTGACTATTACACCATAAGGTAGGTGTACCGATCGATGCAATGCCAGAATAACTCTGACTATTGCAACATTGACCGATCCACTGGCCGCCCGACAAGGAGTGGGGAGACTGTCTTTCCCTAATCGCGCAAGTCTGCCCGGGTGGGTCTTACTACGAATTCGGAAAGACGGTGAATGACAAAAATGGTCGTTTCGTTAGGCCTTTTATACTTAGTTCATCAGCGATTACACCGGGTTGGTCTCGTATTTTGTAACGGAAAATACGAAACATCTATACTGCAATCGCCGATGAACGCACAAATAAATATAATAATAATAATTAATATGCAAAAACGATAAAATAAATAATGATAATGAGGGCTAAAGAAAAATCACGATAACAATAACAATAATAATGAAGTGTGCGCGGCCTTATCGCATACAGCGCAAACCTTATGAAAGCTATTATTGAATCCAAAATTATCAATCGGTACAATTTCAAGAACTCCATGGATATTTGACCTCTTTAAAAAATGAAATCGCTGAGCTTAAAAATGAGAACATAACACTTCGTTATGAATCATCTTTGCTTTCTGCTCGAGTGGCTCAGTTTGAATCAAAACCTGACGTCATTTTGGATTCTGAAGTGTTGTTAAAGCTACTTCGCGAAATTTCTCAGGGAAATTCTTCCGAGTTTAATGTTATTGTGTATGGCAGCGGTTCCCAAACTGTGCACCGCGGTGCTCTAGGGGTACCGCGAGTACTTTCTAAGGGCATCCGTGGTCTACGGCTCATAACAAATAATTTAAAATATTTAGATTTTTTTTCCCTTATTGTTTTCGTAAAAACCTTATAGCAAATAATGAAATATTTTCTATTGTATTTTAGGACATTCTCATTTTAACCTTATAATATTTTTATGTAATAATTAAAATAATGATGACAATAATTTTTATTTATTTAATTGTTAAGTTTAAAAATTCATTAATTTATAATTAAGTTAAATTTTAATAAAATTAATAAAATTAGTTATCAATGAGTATTTTTTTTTGTCCAGGCTTTCATATTATTCACAGCAGGGAACCGTGGCTAAATTAAGTCCAAAAAAAGGCACCGTGGAAAAAAGTTTGAGAACCGCTTGTGTATTATCTTTCTGAGTCGAATTCACCTTCAATTAATCAAAGAATTTCTGACGATTGCCCTGAGCTAGCTAGTGCCTTGTCACCCATTCAAATTGATTTACTTACTGATATGTGTAAAATATCAAATTAATTCATCTTGGAAATAATAAGGCCAGGAAACCTAGACCAATAAAAACAATTTGTAAGTTTAAGAAAAATGCAGCTTAACTCATAGCCGATTTCAGACGAGTAGTTAGAAGCGGGAGTAGTATTCGTGATGGCCTTCGCATAATTCGAAACAAGACTTCGTTGGAACGGGAGCTACTTTGTACTGCCCATATAGAACTCGGGAATTGGAATAAATCAGGAGAGACAAACTTAGTAATATCTTATGTTAAATGTGTCCCTACAGTTACAAAGCCTCACCCAAAAAACAGAGTCGCTGGTCGAGATTGAGGCCAGTGAATAATCAATCATACCTTAAATATTTACTTAATTCTAATTTGCACGTTTCTTTTACTCCAACTTGTAATAAATGTACTAATGCTCACTTAACATTGGATAATTTTTTAATAGAATTCACTGATTTTATTCAAAAGCATTCTAATTTCAATATTCTTGTAAATAATGTTAAGTCACATATTTATCCAAATAATAATAAAAATAATTTATTTTGTAAACAGCAATGTAACTTACCTAATATTAGCCTTAGTTCTAAGTTAAATCTTAAAATTATGTATCAAAATGTTCGTGGACTTCGGACTAAGTTATAAGACGTATTTTCTAATTTTCCTATTCTTAATTATGACATATTTGTACTAACTGAGGCGTGTCTCTCCTCGTATATTAGGGATGCTGAATTAGGTTTTACGGAATTTACAATACTCAGAGCTAATAGAAATGTAAATACTAGTATATGTACTAGAGGTGGTGAGGTCTTGATAGCGGTAAGATAGACTTTATGTCTCTCTTTATTATGTTGTGCTGTACAGTCAGTCGAACAGCTATTTATTAAATTATCTATATCTAAGAAACAAATACTACTAATAGGAGGAGTATATCTACCACCATCAGCTCCATTCGAGATGTACACGTCACATGCTGAAATTGTTGATGAATTGTGGCAGTCTTCTGGGTGTAATATATGAATTATTTGTGGGAACTTTAATTTACCAAATGTTAATTGGATTAACAGTGTTTCGGGACAGTCATTTTCGAGTACAATTAATGATAAAGTTAAGGCAATAGGTGATGGATATCGGTTCTTAAATTTCTCTCAAAATAATTTCATTAGAAACCAGGTGGGTTCACTTTTAGACCTTGTTTTTACATCTGAAATAGACATAGATGTCGACACATCACCAGACGTATTAGTCATGCTAGACAACTATCATCCACCATTAAGCATTATATATTCCATGCCTGACGTGCCACCTCAATTGAATGATTAACATTCGTTCCGCAATTTTAATTTTGCTGATTACAACTCGATTAATAATTGTCTGAGTAACATTAATTGGGAAAGTGAATTTAACAATCTTGGAATTGAAGTTGTAGCTAGTCGTCTACAAAAAATACTAATAACGTTAATTGAGCAATATGTACCGAATCACTTATTTCGTCGCTCAATTTTCCCTATATCGGCAACACCTAAATTGAAAAAATTAATTATTGATAAAAAAATTGCTCATAAAAAACTGAAACAGTTCGGTACAGTTTACTATCGTTATAAATTTTTATTGTTACGTGCTCAAGTCAAAATTGAGTCAAAATTTTCATATGAGTCCTATCTAAGTAAGGTAAATACTTCTCTCCTGAATGACCCGCATGCATTTTGGTCGTTTATTAATAATCGTCGAAATACATCAGGTATTCAAAGTGTTATGCATTATGGTGATGTTATTGCATCAGATGCAGATATAGCAAATATATTTGCAAGTATTTTCAAATCCGTTTATAGATCACCATTACGTCCTCCACAATGGAATGTTGAAAATATTGGAATTAAACCATTTTCATTTTTGCCCTCTAGACTTACTATTGAATTAAAGGAGGTAGAAGAAAGTTTATTATCTCTGAGAACAACTAAGAGTCGTGGACCTGATGTTATATCAGCTCAATTTTTATTTAGTATCAGAGCACAGTTAAAATATCCACTGTTCTTATTTAACCTCTCATTAGTCGAGAGTATATTTCCATCAATATGGAAAACGAGTCAAGTAATACCTATTTATAATACAGGAGACCCAAGGTCAGTATTTAATTATCGTCCAATTTCTGGTTTACCTCTAATTGGTAAACTATTTGAAAAGATTGTCCATAAACGTATTGAACGTAGATTTAAATTAGTTTTATCAACAAATCAACATGGGTTTTATAGCCGTCGTTCCACAACAACTAGTGCATTAGAATTTTCTTCATTCATCAAGGATAGTTTCAAAAATATTAGTCAAGTTGATGTTATATTCACTGATATTTCTAAAGCTTTCGACTCAATAAATCATAAAGTGTTAATTTATATTCTAGATAAATTAGGTATAGGGGAACCTTTGCTCTCCTGGTTCAAATCATATATAACAGGTCGACGACAGTTTGTATCCTTATTTAATCAAAAATTTTTGGAATATTTAGTCACTTCTGGAGTCCCACAAGGTGGGCATATGTCACCACTTTTTATTCTAATGAACTCCTTATGTGAATCTGTTGACAGCAAATTACTACTATTTGCTGATTATTTAATTGCGTTCGTTCTGAGTATTTCACTACAAAAATCGTTAAATAAGTTAGTTAATTGGTGTAATACAGTTAGGTTAGAGCTGGCAATTCATAAATGTAAAATTATGTCTTTTTCGAGAAGCTACTCAATTATTCAATATGATTATTTTATTGATAACGTGGTACTACAGCGAATAAACCAAGTTGAGAATTTAGGTTTTATTTTTACTCTAACGTTATAGTTTACACCTCACATTAACTGGATAGTTGGAAAAGCATTGCAATTTTTAGAGTTTATAAGACGGCATCCAGGTAATGTCATGTTTATAAGATGTTTGCTGATATTATATTTTTCTCTTGTTAGATCAATTGTAGAGTATGGGTCTGTGGTATGGTCCCCAAGAACCAAATGTGATATAATTCAAATTGAACGTGTTCAACACCGTTTTTTGAATATGGTTTCTCGATCAATGGGCATTATTCACGAACCCCATGATTACAAACCCGTCTTAACAGCACTCAATCTATCCACCCTGAGCGAAAGAAGAAATATTAGTGAAATTAAACTTTTAAATTATTTAGTTTCTGGCGTAATTGATTCACCATGCTTGCTATCTAGAATAGGTTTTCGTATTCCAGGAACAACCCGTTCACGTGACCCTTACTATCTTGTCCTAGTGGTAAGGAAATATTTGGATGATGAACCTTTGAGGAGAACTATGTCTTTAGTTAATAGTCAAACTAATTAAAATCGTCCTAATTTAAGTTTTTGTGTCCGTTATATTTAACTTTTGGAGCTTACTATATATTATTGTATAATTTTAATTTATTGTTATTTAATGTTACTAAAATTATGCATTATGTATATTCATTAATGTACTATATTGTAAAAGCCGTATGGCGTTTAAATGGTCAAATAAAATAAAAAATATAAGAACTATATAAATGTACATTTTAGGTTGATTTATTTAATTTATAAAATACTGTACCTAAAGTTAAATAATATGTGTTATAGAAAATTATATTATATTATGTTATAAGTTATAAGTACTATATACTTTTTACGACAAATAGTTAAATATAAATAGCTTTTGAACATCGTGTTATTGTAACCCTCAGGACTTTTCGAATCTTTTGTCTTGGCTCGTTTATTTTTCTTGCTCATTTTTTTTCTGTTAACTCTTTATTCTATAGTAATTCCAAATCAAAAATAAAAATATCTTACAAAATAGTATGTCGTTAGATTTTAAATTGGACTATGGAACTTTGAAGTATTGAAGTAGCAATTTTTTTTATATTTTTGTAGTTTTTCGATACGTAGAAAAAATAAAAATACATTTAGAGAGCCGAGATTTTTAAATTTATCATGGTGTTGCAATAATTTTGTATTTTGTCACTTGGTATAATTATATAAATACAATCTTAGTAATTTTATCTTTTTAATTTTACTTTAAAAATTAAAGAGAAGAATATTGACGATTTCTTTCTCTTTTTTTTTAACTTTTGAAAGACTAAGATATGTAATACTGTTTGGGCGACTTTCAATCAGTATTGTTTTTCCTATAAGATGAAATATTATCATTGCTTTCAAGTATATAACTAAATAAGATAATTGCAATTGACACCAAATTAAAGTATTGTTATATTTAATTGTAACACTTTTATGGATTCACTAGTTACTATTCAGATACTTTTTATTGTATCCATGATTTTATTGTTTCGTTGCCATAAAATCAATAGTGATTATTACCATCGCAAATTTGGCAAATTTACTTATAATTTACTTTATGAAACATATGACATGTTTTAAACTAAGTCATATAAAATATAGTATGTGTTAGACCAATCAGATATTGGCGTATTCTATAACATATCTAACTAGACATTTTATAAAACATTATGGTTTTTCTGAATTTTTTCCGCGTTTGTAGAAAAGTAAAATTCGATTATTTGCTAGCACAGTGTTCCCCAAACGCAGATAAATTATATTTTTGATTGTAATTTAGATATTGCATGGGATTAGGGTAATACTATAGTGATGATGAAATTTTAAAAATTATATTTTTTATTTCATAAAAAAAGAATAAATTAACAATTTATAAAATTTAAAACAATTTAAAATTTTTTTAATTTTTTGATTTAATAGAAAGAAGTTATGAGCTCTTTGAAAATCTACAAAGCAGATGTCAAATAAGAAGATCGGGAAACACTGTGTTAGCAGCTTGATAAAACGAACCTAATATTTATATATAGTATAAAAGATTGAAATTAAGTTAATTTTTGTACTTATATAAGTTATTTTAGAAGTTTTTAGCTCAGTGATTTATAAAAATTAGCATTGAATTTTGATTAAAATATAATTTTAATATATTTATCTGAAAGGAAACCTTAGAAAATGAAAAAAATACTTTAAGGAGATATGGAATTGAAAATCGTCGAAAGCCTTAATAATGTATAAGAATGCAAAAGGAATTTTCAATCCAATTATTTAAAGAAGATAATATTATTATTGCTGTGCATAAATTAAAATACCTACGTTTACAATAAATACTATATAAATAAGTACTTTTTTTTTCTTTTCACTTAAAATTGAATTTATTATTTAATAAGCTTCCCGTGATAAGTTAAAAAATATTTTGTTTCCACAGTAAAATATGAAAAACAAAATGTTGAAAAATTTTGTCGAAGTTTGGATACAAATTATTATAATAGGAGGATCTTTTGAAAAAAAATAAAAATTAAGAGCTTAAAACGCATTATAAACAAATTATCACTACATATATTATCTGAGTTTGTAAACTTTGTTATGAATATCCCATCATGTTTAGGATAATAAAATAAAAAGATAGAATAAAAAACAACTTGTCAGGTCCCAAGAGTGCATTATATTATACCTAAAATAACTTAGAATATTTCTTTCCTCTTTGAATAGACAATATACATTATAAAAGAGGAACATACCAATTATTTTATCGGTACCAACAGAATATAACATGTGCTTATCTGTTAAATTAATCTGGATAGTGGGATTATTGTTTCAATCGACCTATTATTATAAATCCAAATATAATTGATTGGAACTAGAGCTATAGAGCATAGATTTTTAATCTTTTGTTGGGTCATAGACCCCTTTAAAGTAAAAAAATATAACCACGGACCCACCCAACTCTGAAAAAAAAAAATAAACAATACAATTTTTAATTTAAATTATTTTTTAATGATTATACTAAAATTTAGTTAATATATAACTATAAATAATAACGTTCTGGATGCATATGAGTGATTTTTCAGTTTTAGTTTTATTTTGAGTTTTAATGTGACATTTTCTATTATATTGATTATAAAATTGTTTTCTTGAATTTGGCTGTATTGAACAGAATAATACGTATACGTGTACATACAACTGATATGAGTATATATACTCGTATATCATCTTTGACGTCCAAACAGTTGTATGATTTTTTTTTTTTTTTTAGTTGTAACCAATGATGGAAATCTAAATTCACAGAGATTCAAGTATATTGTTGCGAATGACATTTTTTTTCAACATTTTATTACTTTGATTACAATACACGGATAAACCTATAATATATATATATATATATATATATACCTATGTTATTGCAATATTTAATATTTGAACTTTAATTCTAATAAAAAATATTTTTGAAATTTTAAATGAGTTTTACATAATTTATTATTTATAAGTAATATTTATTATGATATTTATTTTAATTTAATAATATCTCATTTTTGTATCAATTCATATATCATTTATTTAACTATTTTTATGAATTTTACTTCTGGTATGATAATATTACTGTATTTTTGGAAGTGCTTAACAAAACGATGAATATTATGTAAGAAATGGAAAATTTAAAATATGTGAACAAGCGCTATCATTTTATTTTTATTTTTATGTAAACAAGTTCCGGTTAGAATAATTTTAAAAATGCAAAAATTGTAGATTTTACATTTTTAAATATTAATTGTTATATTTTTATTCATTAGTTCCACCCTTCAATGTTTTGTTTTCCAAATAATTTTTTATTTCTATTGTAGCAATATTATAACGTATACAATCTAATTTTTTCTAAGCTAAGCTTTCTATAAAATATTCTTATTACGAAATTTAACATATAAATATTATTATATACTATATATTATTATATACATAAATTTAAAATTAAATAAATAAATAAATATACATAAAAAAATCGTTTATTTTAACAATTAAATAATATAATCAAGTTATAAACGAAAAGTAATAGAATAACAATCAAAAAAGTGTATAAACATGTAGAGGCATAAAAAAAAAAAAAAAAAAAAAAACTAAAAAATTAAATCATGAGGCCTTGGAAATTTGAATTGGTTATGTTCAATGAATACACAATCCGATTACAATAATTGCATCTGGTTCTTTTTTTAAACCCATGGTACACTGAGTTTTAAATAATCTGGAAAAAAATTGACGAGTGTGTTAATTTTTGATCATTTTTTTCAACCGCAAATTCATTGATCAACGACCACACTGCACGAAACCCAATCGCATGTTGGATACTTATGCTCGTAATATTTCTGTGGACTTACCAAATGTGGTGAATCGTATCTGCAATGTTCCAGTGGCGTACCTGTGGGGGGGAAACAGGGGAATTTGCCCCCCCTCCAGAAGTTTTTTGATGTCATAATGCAAATTCATTGTCCAGCTTAAATAATGTAAATAATAAATATTTTCACTGATTATAATCTTTTTTGATATCACTATCAATGTAATATAAAATGTTAATATTCGATCAAATTAGAATTAGGAGTTATGGTCACATATAGTCACTATTTTATGTGATTATCACTTATCATTGATATCAAGTGATCAACATGAGGACGTTATCATTACTTATTTTATATTTACTATCTACGCGTTTAACGAAGTTAATTGTTTTTTCCTTGTTTTGTATTAAATATTGTTTGAATTAATTGTTAAATATTATTCATTATGTCTAAATCAAACATTCAGACACAGTTGACTCAATGGGTATCAAAAAAAGCTGAAAAACGTTGTTGTGACGACAGCACTGGACCCATCATGAAAAAACTTCATACATCTGATCCACAATCTTCCAATTCGAATAATATTATTCCAATTACATCATCTAAACTGTCACAAAATGATGAATCTACTAAAGTAATACTAATTGTAACAGTCCAGTTTGTGATGACACATATAACATGGACATTGGAAACTTTTTAAGAACATCAGGTCGTACATTATCTGATAATATTAAAGAAAAAAAAATTAATATGGATAATATACCTCTTGATGACTTTATATATCCATTTACTATGAATATTAGAAATGGTAAAAGTGTGAAAAGATCATTAAGAAAAAGTTATTTCGAACAAAACAAATGGCTAATTTATTCTAATGTTAAGTCCGGGTTGTTCTGCAAATATTGTGTTTTATTTAGCAATAAAAGAGGAAGGTATAACACAATAACTTAGAAAAAATTTATCATTGAACCTGTAACTAAATTTTCAAATTTAACTGGGAAGGATGAAGACTTGGAGGTACATAGTAATAATAAATATCATATTACTGTTATTCAAATCGCGGATGACTTTTTGAAAACTCTTTATAACTTCCAAAAAGAAGTTATTAATTTAATAAATAATGAAAGGCTGAGTCAAGTAATCGAAAACCGAAAAAGACTTAAACCGATCATCGAATCAATTTTATTCCTTGGCCGTCAGA